GCTGTCTGCGCCCGCCCGGGCCAGGGCGCGCCGCACGCGGGCCAGGCGACTGCCCAGCAGCAGCAGCAGGCCAAGCACGCGCTCTAGATCGGCCATGAACCTGCTGAACCGCTCTCGGTCGCGGGGAGCACAGGCCTGGCCCACCGCGGCCTCCAGAGCGGCCCCGCGCCTGGCCCAAGCCTGGGCCGCCCGGTGCAGCTGCTCCTGCTCGGCCTGAAGGTTCCGCAGCATCTTTTGGAGGAGGTCGGCTAGCTCCATCTGCAGGGAAGGCGTGGGTATTTAAGGGTGAGGCCAGACCCCGACTCCTCGGCCCATACTCTGGGCTCTTGCCACACACCCCATCTCCACCAGCCCCTCCGCACTCACTTTCTTGGCTTGGATGCTGTTATTTGCATCAGGGAGACCCTGGCCACAGGCCTGGTCAGGCACAAGGTGGGTGGTATGGTTTCCAAACCTTGTCTCCTCCTGACAAGTTGGCAGGAACTGGCTGGAGCTAAATAGATAGAACCTGGGGACAAAGCCAGAGCTCCCTGGGTTGTCCTGCCCCAGACTGCAGGGACTTAGAATCCCCTGAGTCCCTGGTGCCCCTCACTCACCCTGGCTCAGGACTACCACCAGCCTCCTTTCCGGCCTCCTCACAGGCTGGCCTCATGGCAGCCCAGACCTCTGCTAAAGGAATCAGCCCATCAAGCAGGTCCAGAGGTGGCTCTGGGCTGGGACAGGAAGTGAGAGTGTCACTCATAGAGGGATCCAGTCTGGCCAGCTCCCGAACCAGCTCCTCAAGGCGAGGACTGGGCCATGTTGGCCTGGAAGCAGGCTGGCCAGTGCCCCAAGCCAGGGCGGTATGGCCAGGAGCACCTGGGGTATTGTTGCTTGGAGGTCTCAGGGCATCAGCTGGGAGAGGTTTGAGAGAGTCACTCTCTGCAGCTGCAAGTGAGTCAATGGTCAGCCGTCCACTGGGGTCAAAGGTTGCGATGTCACCATTTGCAGTCCTGGGTGGGCTATAGTTTATGGTCTTAGAGACAC